GTTTGATTCTATTATTATCATAGAACACACTCTCTATAATTTAAAAAAAATTTTTGAGGTTTGCTTTGTGGGGCAGGATATGGTTTACCTTGCTGCATGTTCCATGGGTGCTTGCCAAAATGTGTATTCTGCTGATCTTGGGTGGAGTGTTCATATATATCAATTAAATCCTGTTGGTTGATTGTGTTGTTTAGATCTGTTATTTCTTTGCTGATTTTCTGTCTACTTTCCACAAGTTGCTGAGAAGGAGGTGTTGCAGTCTCCAGTTATAATTATGGATTTGTCTGTTTCTCCTTTCAAATCTGTCCATTTTTGCCTTATGTATTTTGTCACACGTATTGAGGCTCCATTGCTTTGTATGCACACATTTAGTATCATTGGGTATTATTAGTGGGATGATTCTTCTATTTTTACATAATGTCGCTCTTTGTTTCTAGTAATTTTATTTGCTATAAAGTACATCAGATATTAGTCTAGTCACACGTACCTTTTTTGGATTAATATTTGCATGGTATATCTTTACCTGTCCTTTTACTTTAAAACTACCTCTGCCACTGAATTTGAAGTGAGTTTTTGTAAGCATTGGATAGTTGAGTTGTGGTTTTTATACCATGCTAGTCTCTGTCTTTTGATTGGTTTATTTAGACCATCTACATTTAATGAAATTATTGATATTTTATTTAAGTCTACCTTTCATTATTAGTTTCCTCTGGTTCTCATTCTTGTTTCTTTTTTCTTGGCTTCCTATGGGTTACTTAATTTTTTTTTTTTTTAGGATTCTATCTTGATTTATTTATAGTGTTTCCAAGTGTATCATCTCTTCTTTGTATAGTTTTCATAATGGTTGTTCTAGGTATTACAATTTGCATATGTGACTTAAATAGTCATTGGTGTCAACATTTTGCCACTTTGAAGGATATATGGAAACCTCAATTCCATTTAAATTCCTTTACCTTCCCTACCTTTAAATACCATTGATGGTATTAGAATTTTTGTTTCAATCATTAAATCGATTTTAAAAACTAATGAAGAAAAGGATGGTCTATTGTATTTACCCATATTTATACATTTCCACTGTTTATTCATCCTTGGTGGTGTTCCAAGATACTTTCTTTTATCATTTCCTTGCTGTTTCAAGTTTGCTGATTCTAGCCTCTGTCATCTCCACTCTACTATTAAGCATGTTCAGTGTTTAAGAAAAATTTTTAATCATTGTATTTTTCAGTTCTGTAATTTTCATTTGGTTCTTTTTTTATACCTTCTATTTGTTTGCTGAGATTTTTTTTTTTTCATTTGTTTCTAGAGAATCCGTAATTGTTGAAGCATTTTTGTGATGGCTACTTTAAAATCCTTGTCATATAATTCCAACATCTGAATCATCTTGGTATTGGTATAAATTGATTGTCTTTTCTCATTCAAGTTCTCATTTTCTTAGCTCTTAAAATGACTGTATTTGTATCCAGGACATTTCATCCATTATGTTAGGAGACCTTGGGTCCTATTTAAAGCTATTGTTTTAGCGGGCAATCACTTTGATTAGGTCTTGACCTTCTTTTGTGGGCTGTGATTCCAACAGCAGTTTAATTTTCAGAGCCTTGATATTGTTATTTTGGTCTGCTTGGTTTATCTGTTGCCACTAAGTCTCCCAGTGGTTTCTGCTGGTGCTTCCTGAAGGCATAGGAAGAATTTCCCCAGGCCAGGCAACAGCATGTCTCTCACTGCAGGTGGGATGTATTGGAATCCCCTGTCTTATCTCTCCATTCTCCTGACCCCTATAGCTGCTCTTAAGTCTCTGGATAGGGAAAGGAGTCTCAGATAACTGGGATCAAAGAGGTTTTTTGGGCTGATCTGTATTTTATGTCTGCATCTCTCCCTAAGGTTACCCCCATCCACCCTGGCACACCTGGACATCATAGAGACTTTCCTGGCTTGGCCGCTTGCTGTGATTGGGCCCCCTTTCCAGTACTACCTGCCTGTCCTGACACCTCCTAGAGGAGGAAAGGAGTCTCTGGAGTCTCAGGTCATTGGGGATGTAAGTTAAAAGAGGATTCCCAGCCAGACTGCTTGCTATGACTGGAGCTCTCTTGCTGGTTCTGCCCACCTATTCCTTTGTTGGGGAAAGGGAAGGAGAGTCTTAGGTCCTGAGTGGAAGGAGAGGGTTTCACCTGGCCATTTGCTATTGGTGGGATTCTAAATCCACCCCTCGTGCTGCTGGTGGTGGTCTTGGTCTCCCCTGATCTTGTCAGAATGGACAACATTTGATCTGGGGAAGGAATAAGCCTATCTGGCTTGCCTTCTGTTGCTAGTTTGGGGGCTGGGAAATGCAAGATCTAGGTGGTCTTCCTCTGTTGGGTGAAGAGGACAAGACACTCAGCTGCTATGCTCTTCTTCCAGTCTTGGTTCTCAAACCAACTCACCTTCTTACCACCACTTGGAGTTCTCCTTTGGTTGTCTCTTACCCATTTATAATTTTATAATTGTGCTTAGCAAGGACAAGCAAAGAGAACCAGGTCTATGTCATCTCATCTGGACTCAAAGCCATTATTAATTGTCATTTGAATTCGTTTTATTCTGCCATTTTTCTTGTATTTCCCATAATTTTTGCTTCATAGCTTTTTGATGCTAAGTTATTCCTTTTCTGTGTGTGTGTGTGTGTGTGTGTGTGTGACACTTCCTGTATCTGTTCCAGACAAAATACTCTACATAGTAATGTGTAAATTTATAAAATCTGGAGTCTAATCAGCAGTAAAAGCAAGTCAAACAAAGGTTCATGCCTGTAGATAATGAAATAATTCTTAGATGAGAACATTCAGTTCCCTCTCTGTCTTATTTCCAAGTTTGTATATTTTCTCTTACAAGTGTGATGCTTGGTCATGAATAATCTCAAAGATTATTCTTGAGCATAAAAATGATAGGTCTTGTGCTTGGGGTTGATTATATACATAGGTGAGCATACAGTTTTGAGCAAACTAGAACCAGAGAATTAATTACTGTCTGGCAATTTCACAAGGAATATAGATCTGGATTTTTAAAATGTTCTTTCTCTGTGAGGCTGGGAAACCAAGCCCAAGAAATGCTCTCTACCGTGTGTCACCTGAAATACCTATAAATATTGGTGAATTTATCTCCCCTCAAGGTTCTCAAAAGCTGTTAAGTTTCATGGCCTATGAGGAAGAAAGCTTCCTTACTAATGTGAACTGGGCCTTTCAGTCTGGAACAGATATTACAGAACAGAAATCTTCCATCTATGATATTTTCATTTTGTATATTTTAGTTTTCATTCTAGAAGTTCTGTTGGGTCTTTTCTTGTATCTTCTAATACTCTTCTCATCATGTCCATGTATTCCTTTACATCCTTGAGCCTATGGAGTGTATTTATAACAGATATTTTAACTTTCTTGTCTGTTAATTTCACCAACTTTAGCATTAGTCATTATGGCTCTATTGGCTGTTTTTTCTACTATTTCTTGAGTACATTTTCCTTCATATTTTTAGTAATTTTTATTGCATACTGAACATTATGAATTTAATGTCCTTGTTGAATGATTTTTTACTTTAAAGAGAATTGAACTTTGTTTTGGCAGGCAGTTAAGATACTTGTAGATTAGTTTAATCCTTTCAAGACTCGTTAAGCTCTTTTTAGGGCATAACATGAATTCTTAGGGTATAAATTTTATTCTAGGTTAAATTTTCCTCATTTCTAAATTGTGGCCCTTCTGTGGTCTCTACTAAATGTCTTATGAATTCAACAAGGTCTGTATATTTGGGCTGGTAGGACCTTGGATGATTTGCAGCTCTGTGTGATTTCAGTAATTGTTCAATCTTACAGATCCTTGGTAATTTTTTTCTGGAGGTTGTTCTTACTCAGTGTTGTGGATGTTCGCCCTGTATAGGTGCAGACTGTATTCAGCCAAAGACACAGGGCACTTCCTATGCAAATTTATCGAACTCTTTCCTTATGTAGTTCCCTCCTCTAGAATAGTTTTCCCAGCAAATTCTAGCTTGCACAGCCGCCTAACCTTCACATACCCGAATCTCTATCTCCTTTACTCAGCAAGATTTCCAGGCTGTGTCTGGGTTCCTCCTCAGTACACCTTAGTTGGGAAATTGCCTCCAGGCAGAGTGCCTGAAAAGTGGGAGGGCCCACCTCATTTGTTTCTTTTTCTTTTTTTCTCAGAGATCGTAGTCTGAGCTGTCTGTTGTCCAATGTCTAAAAATAGTTGTTTCCTATACTTTGTCCAGTTTTCTAGTTGTTTATGTTAGAAGGGTAATATTGGATCCTGTTATTTTATCCTGACTGGAAGCTGAACTCCTCAAAAAGTTCTTTTTGAGCCTGTATTAATAACTGCATTGGCATGAAAAGTAAAGAAACAGTAAAAGTATTGTTTATGAACTTTGAGGGATCAGTGAGAATCAGTTACTAGCTTTAGAATGTTTCATTTCAGTTTATAAAAGCACAGGTACCACATTGAGGATTAGGAAGCATCGAGAAGAGACACAAAGGGCTTCCTCGTATACCATCAGAAATATAGAAAAATTTAAAAACCACACAACTTTTCTCTCATCATTTAATTCAATCCTGTATGATTAATTCTTATTCCCCTGGACATTGAACAGGCAGTTTGCTTTCATGTGGCCCTATGCTCCCAGATATAAAGGGTTCTGGTAAATCCTGATTTCAGCCTTGTAGTGTTGTCGGAAAATTGTCTAACCAATGTCAGCTTAAGCTCCGCACCCTGTACCTGTGAGTCTAATTCTTGAATTCAAATAGTTTAGAATACCTGGTATAATCCTCTCTACAGATAAGTGAAGACCTAGTTTCTCTCCTGCATCTGAGAGCAGAGACTTTAGATGAACATCAGAGAAAAGCAGAAGCTGCCAGTTGACCAAAAGCCTGAAAGACTGTGGTTAATTTATTAGAGTCACCAATAGTATCAAAACGGAGAAAAGTAGAATCCTTTTTTTTAGGATGAGGGGTATGATAATAACTCTTTCTTAAGAATTGTATCAAAGTTTCTCTTCAGATGAGAAAACATTATGGAGAGAAATGGACTTAATGATTTTCTAGGAGCTTTCAATGCATTCTTGTAACATGTACAGTGTATAAAACATTTATACAAATAGCATTAATCATGTTTAT